TATATATATTACTCCTTACAATACGTCCGACTGTAATTTATACTATTTTCATTTATTAAATTTAAAAGGCAGTTCGATCGGCGTGGCTCTTACATTCCCGTTTTGCGGATTTATACTCGAGAGATGGGGCTGGCCGTACGTGTTCTATATCACGGGAATGATAGGAATGGTGTGGTTTTTGGCATGGTGGTTGTTCGTATACGATACGCCCGCGGAACACCCTTACATATCCGAAGTTGAGCTTGTGCACATCACAAGCAGTCTCACCGACGTGGTGTCCACTAAAAAGGTACAAACCGTTATTTTTTTAATAATATATTATTAGCAATATTAGCGTTTAACAATTTAAACGACTGAAGCAGCTATATACTTTTTTTTAAATATAAGAAGAAACAACATAATGTTTATCTAAAAAAGTTGGCTTACAAATATTGAACAATAATAATAGGTTGATTTGTTTTATCATCAAAAACCTAAAATGAAAAGGGAATACCTATAATATGATTAATACCTATGTACCAACCACAACTTACTTTTTAGTTTTGTCCTTTGCAGCTTTACCTATATCATCACAATGTTCAACATTATAATATTAATAATATATATATTATATATATATTAATTTACTTTCAATTATACATAAACACATTTTTGTTTTGTTTTTAAAGTCAGGAAAAATTACTCGGAAAACTAATGTTATAAATATAATATAGATTGCAGATAACACAAAAATATCTAGTTAATTCTAAGTGACCCTAACTACGATTTTATAATTGGTTCGAGTTTTTCAWTCCTTTATTCGTTTTACAGTTACCAATACCGTGGAAATCCGTGTTGACGTGCGTACCGTTTTGGATAGCACTGTCCATCCAATGGAGTACCGGGTGGGCTCTGCACACGCTCATGACGCAGACTCCTACCTATTTGGTTCTAATGTTCGGGTGGAATCCAGAAAAGGTGAGTATAATAATAAGGCATTATGATTTATTTACCGACGTTTTTCGTGTAATTCAAATCACATAATTGATATTTTTATCGGCGTTTCTCAAACTTTTATATTTCATATATATATATAATATATATCCTCACATTCTTCTAAGGCCTCACATTAGTTAYAAATTAGTGGCGTAAGTACCTTCCACTGTAGGACTATTAAAAATACCAATAATGCCATTAGGTAAAATATAAAAGGTATGTACTATTGTATAGAAATATCTAATATTATAATGGTAAAGTGATAATAAAAAACAAATGTTTTTGAAAGAAGTTCTGAATTTTTTATGAAAAAAATATTCATCGTATTAGTTTGTTGTATTATATATGATACCGATATTTTATACTTGACTGAATTATTCTTCATAAGTCCGAAAATTTAACTAGAATGATGCAGCTTGGCGCTTACGCCACGATTTYACAGAATTCAGGTCAATATTATTTAGTTTATTCTGAAATTTATCTTTGGTATCATCTGATACCTAGCAGAAAAACTAGTTTCCCTAAGATATATCGAATTGGTATTCGAATGTATTTTTTTTTATGCAGCGAAAAACATACATTTTTAGCTTTTAGTCAAAACTCACCCCCCAACTCTACAATTGTAAATTCACCCTAACCACATAAGCGTGCACACGAGATGGGGCAGGATGGGCAGCTGCCCCTCCTGTGGGCTACTTTTTTTCTCCTAAATATAGTTTTATAAAAAAAACATTGTAATATAATTTTATATTACAATGAGTCAATGAATAATATATTGTAAATATTGAGTATACGGTGCACGATAGTTTTGTGTTGTCAAAAGTCCAACTTTGCTCAAGCCATTACAAGCGATACCGCATTGATAATGTGTGTTAATAGATACGCGGCTAAACATATAGTTATTTTCAAATATTAGGTATAATATATTAGGTAGGTAATAGGTATCGTATAATCATCACGTTTCAATATTTGCTTGAGCATAGTGTAGATAGGACAAATAGGTATACCATTGTTTAAAACCACGTTGACCTATATTTTATATTATACAATTGTAAACCTATTCGTACAACCCAAAACGGGTCTCTATAAATATAGCTATTATAGGTAGCTAATTCGACAGGAAACCGTTTTTATTTTTCAAAGTTCAGATATTATTATAAGCGTGGCTATGTATATTCATTTTTAATAAATCGTATATACCTATACTATTGTTTTTCTCCACAGATCGGATTGTGGTCCGGAATACCGCATTTCACTCGTTTCTTGTTCTCGCTGGCCCTGTCGTTCGTCATCGACTCGCTCATGGCCACCGGCCGGTACAGCCGCACTTGTGTGCGTAAGATATCAACCACCATTTGTACGGTGGTGCAAGCCCTTCTCATCGTGGCTCTAGTGTATTCGGGTTGCGACCAGTTTTTGGTCAATGGATTCCTACTGTTGGCCATGACGGCCAGTGGTGCTTCCACTTCCGGACCGCTGTCCATAATGGTCGACTTGTCACCGAATTTCGCCAGTGAGTGATCGTCATCTATAGCCATCTATTACACTATATTTAATAATTCGTTCGTGTATAGTTCGTAATAATGTACCAACCCAAGTAAAATCGAACCATGTAAGAACGTTTTATAATTTTATGAAAAAAAACCAAAAAAATGCACACCAAAAATCTCTCTAATCCTGTTCTATAGGCGTGCTCCAAGGTTTTAGCGGCATTATCGGAGTCATCCCGGGAATGATTTCGCCGTTTGTGCTGTCTTATTTCACGAACGACAACGTGAGTACCTAYACTGGCTATACTACTTATCTATTTATTCTTATCATACTTGTGAAAATTATAAATTATACACTTATATCTATACTTATCSATCTCCGTCTTTTYAGAACACWCTCGAAGCGTGGCAACACTTTTTCGCTTTGAGCGGAGTACTAATAGCCATTCCGGGACTGYTATACAATTTCATCGGCTCCAGCGAACTCCAATCATGGAATAGCCCTATTCCAACAGCCGACCCAGAAATAGCTGACACCAACGGTAGCTCAACTACTGCCAAAAAATGATATTTTTTTTTAACGCATAACTTTATTGTAATATGTGATGAAAACAACCGTATACCAATTTTGTATTTTTAATTTACAATATTATTATATTTTTTAAGACGTAAGATCAAAACAAACCAGCATTCGTATAGAGTGCTAAATATTGTTATAAATTTGAGAACGGGGTGAATTTACATATTACTATACAGAGTATAATTTATAGACCTATAGTACAAAACAATATTACAGGTTTTTATGCATATTAGTAAGTATCTTTATGTTTAGCATGACTGTAGAAACCTATTAAATAGGTAATAATATCTACAGTATGTTAATAATATATTATATTATTATACATTTATATTGTTATTATCTATGACCCGATGACCGTGGTATTTAGTTATCACAGTTGCATTTGCGTATGTTATTGATGATTATAATGATTCGAACATAAGTAGGTACATATCTTCTCAGATATTATTGTGTTTAAGCCGTTTAAAGACATTATCAGGGACACAATATATGGGTATTTATTTTTTTTATATATAATTTCATTATAGTATATTAGTCATTAGTGCGCTTGGCTTTATTTAAATTTAAAAAAAAAATGTTACCGTATAGTTATAACTATTGTTAGTTTTTCAAAAAATATTTTAATAATAAACAACTCAATCTATGGCCAAAACTATTTGCATAATATGTTTAGAAACGCCAATTTTTAGTTTATATTTCTGTCCATGACCTTATGGCTGCATCTACTTATTCAAAAATTGTATTAATCATATGACTATGATGGTTATGACCTAACCTTTTTTCTTTTTCCGTTCAAAAAACCAGGAACGGGTGGGAAATGTTTAGCACAATACTGCCACCCGGTCCCGTATCGTTTATTCGCCGTCAATTATCGTAGTTATTTTACATACGCGGGGG